TACTGGATACTTCTAACCGTATTTTTCTAGAACTGCATAATTAGAGTTGCTGGGAAAAAAAACGGCACACATCCTTCCTTGGTGGTCACGCCATTTTTATGCTTCGATAAATTTACTTCAAATGCTGTTTTAGTTTTCAATGGCGAACAATCAAATTTTCTTTTTTTATATGTACGTCAAGATTGCCAGCAAGCCGATCACCGTGTGATGCAGCACTGGTAGGAGCAACTGAAAAAGTTGTTAGCAGCATAACTGGAGAATTATTTTGGAGATTACGGCTAATTAAAGTATCAAAGTAAGTACATGCGTCCAGTATAAAAAAAGTAAGTCAGAGTGGGCATTTCAAAATACACAAAAATTATGTAACTTTCGGTTTTTTCTATCCTCCTTTAGCATTACAGTGAGTAAATGACATGGAAAAAAGTTAAACAAAACAGCTTGAGCAAGACTTGATAACACAAAACAAGACTAGAAACAACGGAACGGAATCGAACATTGCAAAATGAATAAGGGAAAAAGCAAAAATTTCACAGTCGCAAAAGTTATCCAGCCTTTTATATGTCACCTAAAGAAGAAGCTTCATCTGGTTCAACCCCTCTCCCCCTTCTGCGCTCTTCCCACTCTCCAAAATTTCAATATGAGAAGAGTTGCAAACTATCCATTGTCATCTACTTCCATGGAATATCAATATCTATAGGGCAAAATGAAAAAGTATTCCATAAATCTGTGAATCCATGTCTTCACTAAGTTGACTTAACCTGTAAATTAGCGGTTTCTATACGGTGTATGTTCAACAAGATGTTCGTCGGTCCTAATACGTTTCATGCACTTCTCACCATGAGCAAAAGACGTTCTCTTAAAATTTCCGCTAAATAGAAATGGAAGTCCCCATTTTTCTATAATGACAGAATCATCTAAGGTTAGTTGTTCTGGGTCAAATTCTAATTTCCAAGATCAGCTGCTATCGTACAATCTACCAATTCCCAGCATCAAGCAAAAATAACATATCCTATCTTCCAATTTCTTTTTCCCCAATTTGCTTGCAGTTGCGTCTTCTGCTCTACTTTCCGAGTAACCCACCACAGTGAAAACAGTTCCTTACGTGAAATCCGCGGTACTACGTAAATTCGAGCAGCAACAAGCAAAATACTGGTAACTACTAAAGAAATCTTAATGCCTGAAAAATTCAAATTTTTTATAAAACCGAAAATTTGCTTCATACCTCTATCATGCGTAAAAATACTGTAGAGAAGTACTGTAACAAAAAGAACAAAGACACTGTGAATACAGTCAGTTGAAGTTATATTATCACAATGGCATACTTTCGACTAATTCGCCAAGTTTAATTTGCCGCTTATCCAGAATAGTATTATTATTGTTACTACTGGCCATAACTGCATAATCAGATTTCGAAGCAGCCAAAGCTCGATTCCTCACGCTCCTCAGCTGCAGTTCAACAAAATGTAAGTCGGCAAAAATTTTCGCGTCACGTTGACGCATATATGCCTGAAACGGATATGATTATTTTGCCACACCTTTCGGGATGATTTTCCACCTAATTTCACCCAAAACTGCCAACTTAGGTGGATTATCTGCAAAACGATCTGAATTCAATTATATAACAAGAAACAGTAAGGGAATCCCACGTCAATGATGTTACTGGGACACCCCCACAAATGATCCTGAGAGGCGTATCCAGCTGAAATCGAGAGGGACGAAAAATCTTGGTAACTGTCACAGATTTTTCAGCAAAACACCTCTATTAAACTTGCTCTTTAAAATTAGTTAGCAGCAAAATTAGTAGTCCTCAATTAATAAGGAAAAATCTTTTTCCAATTTCACTGCTTGAAAACCCAAGAGTCCTTTTCAAAACGTGAATGCTAAAAAGAAAAAAAAATTCATCGGGAATTCATTTATGATTTTATTACTTCGCTTCCGCATATACAATCACTGTAAAAATAATATTAGGAGTGCCAAATGCGTCAGGACATTCGATGTGGAAATCTCCCGATCATGAGCGATGCTTCTACAAGCCAAGCAGCCTTATGCTTTTGAATGCACGCTTAAACAAGTCACCACCCACCGCTTGTTCAATGCATATGCAGCATCTCTTCGAAAGTTATCTGAATAGTTTTTTGTTTTCTCACGGTACCATTCGCTAATATGCAACGTCCACTGGTTGTCAGCAAGGCGAACAACATGCTCTGCCCGTCGGATTTAACCTTCTCATGTTATCGCATAGATATCTTGCATGCTGTTTATGCAGCATCTGTTGTTCAGTTTCTAATAGCAATATAAAAACTAACCATTTCACGTTTGAGATGTTCAAAAACTTCATCCCAGGAGTGAAAATCACCGAACGATGTTTTCTGAGAATCACTGGAGCTCACCGATTTCGACAGACCCGAATCATTCATTGTATCATCGGTTACGATTATTGATTTCATAGTTGATGGTGTCGAATCATGATCGTAACCGGCGAATGTGCTCACCGTATTTGAATCTGCATCCGAAATTTTTAGAATAAATTAAACAAAAATTGTTGAAATTTTAAAAAAATCTATGTTCTTTTCCCTGGATTCGCCCTACTGTGTACGCTAGTGGATTTACAAGTGTTACAACCTAGAAATGTGCAAATAAATGAAAAATTCCACTATTTACAATGCTTTGGGAACGCAGTGGAGGTTTATGTTTTAAAACATATCAAATTTCTTCAAAAGGTGCTGAAAAGAAAAGCTTTATGAACTTTTGTCCAACCGATTAGGAACGGGCGTTTTTAATGTACTTAAAGTTTTTTTTGCTATGAAATGGCCTACAGTGCTTTCATAACACAATTTCTATTTGCCCTCTGCTTACAGGAAATTTCTAAGTTATTCACAGAAGTCAAAATATGCAAGGGGCAGCTGATAAGAAATTGAACTAACAAAGTGAAGCGAGTTTAGCTAGCACAGAAAAAGACATAACCAGAACATCCGGTTCAGAACATTACAGCTAATGACAAACATTATGCCCCTTTGGCTGCGAGAAGTTAAATTGCACTTTGAGAAAAAAAATATTGAGGAATTTAAAACTCAGTAATCAGAATAATGGAATTTAAGGAATTCAGGCAAAAGCAGGTCAAGAGCGAATGCAAATGGAGAGAGTGTCCTAAAAAGCCATTCCCATTCTGAAGTAAATGCCAATCAAAAACGAATATCTGAAATTTTGAGAAGATAACTGAATTTAGCCTTGAGATTTACCGCAAAATAAACGTTGGAAATTCCAAATGATGAACAGCATTGGCCAAGCAATCGTCTCAACTTCACATAGCTTAAGAACCAGATTGGGAATTACAACTAACCTAAGCAGTTCAATCAAGTAATTTATTCCTGGTGCGCAGTTAGATGGTCACTAAAATCCCTCTAGTAGAACGAAACAGTCACGTACATTGGCTAGTAGTGTT